AATTTCCCTTCTTCAACCTGACATGATTCTTTTATTCTCTTAAAAACCCAAGAGCCCACAGTTTTACATTACCCAGGATCAAATAACCTGTTGTCACTTTTGTTAAGAAAGGATTGTGATGTTCTACCTCCACCACCCTGCAGGCAAGTGGGGGAAGCTCACACTTATTTATCTCTTTGGATGTGGGGGTACTTGCTGTTTCCTTTAATGATACCTTAACCTCTGTAGTTACACACTAGTGCCAAAACACAACTTGTTATTTCCATGGTAGAGCAAATTCAACAAATTCATTTGTTGAATTACTAGGATTCACAGACTATGTTGTAGGTGCTGTGTGGAACGCATGGATGAAAAGTTAAAGAACCTCCCTTGGGAAATTTATACCTGCTGGGGGAAAGGAAGGCAAGGTCATGAACAGTTTTAACTCGAAGTGCCCCCTAATGAGTGCTATGTAAGAGGTATGCAGTCATGTACCACATAAGGATGTTTTGGCCAATGGTGGACTGCATATATGATGGTGGTTTCACAAGATTATATGGAGCTGAAAAATTCCCATTGCCTAGTCATGTCATAGCTGTCATAATGTCTTAGCACAATGCCTTAAAATTGCCTACAGTATCCAGTACAGTAACATGCTCTACTGGTTTGTACCTATAAGCAATAGGCTACACCATACAGCCCAGGTGTATAGTAGGCTCTACTACATAGGTTTGTACACTCTATGACTTTTGCATGACAAAATCACATAACACATTTCTCAGAATGTATTTCCATTGTTATGTGATGTGAGACTATGATTATAAAAAGCAGATATAGTGTGATCTTTCTAAAATTTCTTAAGTGAAGATGAACAGGGATCACTGGTGTTAACACAAGGAAAACTAAATGCCATCTTGTCATTGTTCATGGTTACCTATTTCCTTTATGGTTCTGAGTGCTGTCACTCAGTATGAAGCCAGGTGCTCCAGGGCACTACGTGCCCCATGCTGCCTGTCATCTCCCTAACTGCCACTACAGAAGTAGAATTAAGGGTTATCTTCTATACCTGACTTTTTTACTTTGCAAATTAATAATTACAACAGCATAACTGGTTTACCAGTGAGATTACCAACTTAAACTCACAAAGAAAACCACATCCTCTTCCTTGAGCCTAGTCAATGTCAGCAATATTAGTGGACTTCAGGCCTCAGAGTGAGGTAAAATGATAGGCTTGGAGGGTTCTCCTCGGAACTGTTAAGAAAAATATGCACACATGTCATTTCTCTCATTTTTTTCTTAAAACCTAGTAAATGAGTAAGGACAAGTCAACATTGACAGATTCAATAGAGAGTTGTGCAAGCTGCTCCAAAGCACAACTTACTTGTGCTTACTTGTGCAGTCCTTTATAATTTGTTAAATGCCCTTTCACATGTGTTGTCTTTTGAGCCCCCAAACAACTGTCATTTTTGAGACAGAGAACTGAGATTATGAGAGAGTAAATGGTTTATCTGATTTTTGTACATTCTATTGGTGATGGAGTTAGATCCTGACTTCAAGTTTGCCGATTCCCTAGCCTAGTATTTTTTCCTTTATGCCTTCTCACCTTCCGTCCTATACCTCTCAAACATCTGCCAAGCAATAGCTGCCAGCCCTTACAGATCTTTGACTTGTGGATTATATTGAAACTTGAGCAGACAAAACCCTGGTTTGTTACCTGACTCCTTTTTCATCTAGTTTTTAACTTATATGTATCTTTCCTAAATCAGAGGCTTCTTCACTGAAAATTAAAGTTTCATTAATTCATTTGTTCACTTACATATGGGGAAATTGTCTCCATAATTCTAGAAGTAAGGTCCTTGTTGATAAAATCACTTTCTTTGTTTTTGTCAACTGGTTCAGTAAGCCCTTATCCCCTCAGAACTAACATCTCTGAAATGAGTATGAGTAATACCAGTCTTTATGATGTACCAAGCTCTTGTAAGCACTTTATATACCTGTGGAGTAAGTCCTGTATTACAGACAAAGAAACTGAGATCTCATCAAGTCAAGTTACTGTCCCACTCCCCAGGAATCCTGGTGAAGCCAGCATTCAAGCCCAGGTCTTCCTGACCCCAGAGCTGCGCTGGTGAGCTCTGGGTGGGAGAGTCAGGAAGGCTCATCACATGGTTAGTCAAGCAATAGCTTGCTCTGTCTTTGGCGGCACTCAGGTATGTTGGCACCAGACCTGAAATCCAGGAGGAGAGCAGACAAGGAGGACAGTGTCCATGTGACCTTCCCAGAGGCAGGGCCAAAATGAGTATTTGGGTTTGGAGAAACCTCATTTTTAGGAATAAAAATAAATTCCAAAAAAGGGATGGGGGCAGAGGAGATTGTTCATCATACATGTTAAACAAACACACACATTGAGGCCTCTAGAAGAGGTGAAAAAGAATTATCAAGAACCAGGGCTTAAACATTTTGCTGGCTTTGCCATTTCCTCATGTTTGATAATGATTCTTTAAAAATCTTTAAACAGGAGAGCTCTTATGTTTGTCTTTGGGGAGCAAGGAGATGCAAGTGATGAGATTTGCATCCAATTCTATAATCCAGGGAAACAAAAGAAACCCAAGGAATTGAAAACGATGATGCTAGCTATCAAAGAAGAGAATATAGGCATTGAAAAATATTTTGAAAAAGTTAAGAAGCAGTTATATGTTGCTTGGCAGCAGAGACCAGAGAGCCATTTCCTCACTCCATAAAGCCATTGTTGCACCACTTCCTGCCAGTGGTTTTCCTTTGGCCCTGGGGCTAGCACATGAGCTGTGCCCACTGAGAGGAATTGGGCTGGGTGGGTATGATGGGTGAGCTAATCCCACGAAGCAAGTTTTGGTGTAGGCTTTTATCTTCTACTCTCTGCTGGCTTTTAGCTTTCAATAGCAGAACTGTTGCCTTCTGGTTGTTCCTTTGAACCTCTGTGTTCACAGAACTTGAAAAGGATTTCTCACTTGTTTTCATCTTTGGTAGTTGGGAAGTTCCCCCTCCTCTCATTTTTCTCCAGAATGTTTTACATTACCAGCAATATGCATATCAGTCAGCTCCCCTCCCTCCCATTCATTCTACCTCAGCCCCTAAGCCCAGTCCTAACCTTGATTGTTGTAGGAGACCATTTCAGTATAGAAACCTGAAACCCTTTACCCAGCACTTAGACAGTATGTTTTCCTTTTATTATTCAAATAACTACTGGCACTAGGGCTATGTTTCCTACAAAAAACTTTTTTGAAAACCTGGTCTTGCCAAGGTATAGTTCATTAGGAGATAGGTCTAATATTTGCCAATGAGCTTTAACACCCCCAAGAAAACAACCAGGCAAATAAAACATGTTCAAGTGCCCAGCTCTTAAGAAATGGAGCCAAAAGTACAACCAGGAGGATCTAGCAACTTGCCTGTGGCCCTGGTGTTTTGACCATGCTAAGTCCAGAAGAAATATTCATTCCTCTTGAACTCCTCTTTCTTTCCAAAATACAGTTCTTAGGGTTATATGACTCTTGACAGGATACTAACCCATATTAAAAGAACATTTATTAACATCAGTTAAGGAGAGAATTAATAAATTCTGGGTATAGGACAATGTTCTGAGATAAAAGGCTCACAGACACACATAAGATAGAATTCTTGTCCTCAAAGAACTTAGTATTACAGGAATGATTAAAACAAGTACACAATTGAGCAAAGTGCCAGAAATAATTATGTAGAGTCATTAGAGTTCAATAAAGTCTTCTGACACTTAAAGGCAAATCTATTTCTAAATGAAAGGGAAAGTTTCAAAAAAATGTTTACATTTGAGATGGACCTAGAAGGATGAGTTGATTTGGATTGGCAGGAATGGAAGTAGAAGAACTAAGCATTTCCAGGGAGAGGGAACAGCAGGAGCAAATATTTACATAGAGTTGTGAATGGGTAGGGAAGATTTAAGTGGTCCCATTTGACCAGAGTTTAGGATGTAGGGGAGAGCAATGAGTAACCTTCATTGGAAGATAGGCTGGGAAAGTATTGTGGAAAATGAGGTGTTTGGGCTACCCAGTAGAAAGATTAATCTGTAGGGTAGTGGTAGGGGCATAGTTAAGAGGCTGTTGTAGTAATCCAGGCATGAGGTAATAGGGCTTCAATGGAAGCCATGAGATTGGAAAGAAAGGGACTGGAGTGACCAATATTGCAGAGGTAGATTCTTTACACTTAAGTTGATGTGGAACCAGGAGTAAAGTACCCTACGAGCTCACACACAGTTTCAGAAAAGAGGCAGTAAGAAACAAGGATTTCTGAAAGAGGAGCTGGTTGTAGGGGAAGTTGATGAGTTTGGAATTAGACATGTTAAATATCCAGAAAAATACATGTAGTAAATAGATGGAGCTGTGGACCTGGAGCTTAAAAGAGCATTTCTGTAGTTCTTTACATAGAGGCAATATAGTTGAAGTCATGAATATAGATGATATTACCAAAGTAAACATGGGGAAAGAGGGAAGCTCAAGGATAGAAATGTAAAGAGTGGAGGAGCTATGGACAGAGTTGGGAACAGCAGTTTGAGAAACAGAGAAGACTAGGGTGGTACATTGAGAGGGAAGTCAAGAAAGGAGAGAGAAGGCGTCCACAGAATGGAGGCCATCCTCCCAGGCTAGAGGTTCCTGAAAGCTCCAGGAATGATTCTTATATGCATGTGGTTTTGAGAGTACAGCACTGTCAAGTCAACAGAGAGATGAAGAAAAAAGAAGATGTTCCATGTGATCAACCACCATGTGGGCTTTTTCTCCTAAGGGTATGGTTCCTCGACAAAGAGGCTCATGTTTGCTATAGGACTTAGGGTTAGAAAGAAGGCTGGTCCAGGCTTCTGTGAGCACCATCACCAGCCAGCTGAGGATTAGTAGGTAGTGCACACATGTGTCTCACTGTTGTTCACTGTCTCTTGCAAGACATTCCTTTGATAGGTACTGACAATGTTGAGAGAAACTTCAGGTCTGTTGACCAACCCTATTTTGCTGTCTTCTCAGAATCTGTCATAGGGAACTGCATGGATAGAAGTTCTCCGGGACAAGCAATGGAGCTGCCAGATCATAATGGACTTGGGTACTCAGCACGCCCCTCAGTCAGTGAGCACCACAGGCCTCGGACCCTCCAGAGACACCATACAATCCAGAATAGCGATGATGCTTATGTATGTTGGTCCCTCCTGCTTCTCAGAAGTGGAATTGTACCAATCCAACCCTGGAAACAAAACTTAGTAATGTTGGGTAGCATGTACTCCTCCAGTCTTCTCAACCAGAATCCAGCACCTCTAAGAACTAAGGAAGCATATCTTTGAATCACCTGAACAGACCAGCCCTTAACTCCAGTAGAATCTCAGTGGAATCTATTCTCCAATTTTAGACTGAGGAATGAAGAGTAGTTGCCATCTGTCCCCTCTGGCCTTAGTTGTTAAACTTCTACCCAAACAATCTAAAACTCAAGCCCCAGCAAATGAATTCTTAGGCTCTTGGTTGGTTTTCTGGCAGGTACATTGAGCTTACTCAGATAAAGAGAGCTAACCTCGCTCTGCAAGGCTTGTTTTCCTAGGACAGACTCCTAGAGCAGCACTGATTAATGCAGTAGCAACTAGCCACAAGTAGCTATTCAAATTTAAATATAATTAAATTAAAGATTTAGTTCCTCAGTCACTAGTCACATTTCAAGTGCTCAGTAGCCTCTTGTGGCTCATGACTCTGTATTAGACAGCATGGTAGGACATTTCCATCCTTGCAGAGAATTTTGTTAGACTCCTCATGGTGACGGGGATAGGTCAGAAACCTGGTTTGGGAGGCCATGTAGGTGTCAATGGCATCTGTCCACCATGGCATCTGAGATTCACCATGCCCTCACCCAATCTGAGGGCAGAAACTGCAGCAGTTTCCCATACTGTCCCTGTTACAGCCCCCTTTGGATGGTACTGTGCAGAGGAGGGGCATCTGGGAGTACTGCTTGGGAGTGTTGCCTGAGTTCTTTTAGAGGGAACAGCTATCTCTTAAGAGTTACCTATGTGTTGCATATTGTTTGGTATCTTTATGTACTGTCCTAATCATTTTCTGCAGGTGCAGCTGGATAACTTGCCAGGAATGAGTCTCGTGGCTGGGAAAGCACTTAGTTCCGCCCGGATGTCAGATGCTGTCCTTAGTCAGTCCTCACTTATGGGGAGCCAGCAGTTTCAGGATGGGGAAAATGAGGGTAAGGAAGCTTACACATGGGGTGCCCCCAAGAAGTCCCTAGAACTCCTCCCTTCCATATTCACCAGTGACTGCTCCCTTCTTCAGTGTAAAGAGTTCATGGGATGCCATAGCGTTCCAAAGGCATTCTGGACACAGAATTCTTCCCCATTTCTCTTTCACTGAGCATGCATGTATAAATAAAGGAGCATGCCTTCTAGTTGAGTGCAGAGATACCACACTTTTGTTTATCATGCTTTGTTAAAATACTCATTTAATAGCTGTTTTTCTGGTTCTTATTAGAGGGCACTGTGTCCAAACAGAATATGTCTGCCTCCCCTTAGAACTAGTTAAGTGAAGGTTTCATAATAGATATAAAGCACAGGCCTTGGAATGGACAGGTCTGCAGGAAACCCTGACTGCCCTTTACAGGCTACATGGGCAAGGCACTCAGCATTTTTGAGCCCTAACATCCTCCTCTGTAAAGTGGCAGAAACAATAGAGCCTGTATCCTAGATTGTGGTGTGAGTGTCAACTGCCCTAGTGAGTTTAAAATGCTTGGAACTATTCCTAGAGTGTAGAATTCCCCATAGTCAGTGTCTACTAGCAGTAAATTTTCTTCTCCCTTAAAGAGGGAAGTCTTCCTGAAGGAGCAGTATTCTGTCTTCTCCCACACTACAGTTGTTGATGGAGCTTGATGGTGGGAGACACAGTTATGGGGGAAAATGGAACACTTAGAAGAATCCTGGCTTCCAGCCTACAGTCACTAAACACAGTGATAGTCTGCTGTGAGGTAGGATTCAGGCTGGGAGTCAGGGCATGGGTACTCAGACTTCTCTTCCTCTTTTCTCTCCCTATTGTCAACCTGCCCCCGATTTCCTGCTCCCAGAAAATCTCACATGTTCTTTCTGGTCTTCAGAATGCAGGGAGAGTCTAGGAGATCATGAGCACATAGACCTGACTGATGGCAGCCAGCATTTGAACTCCTCCTGCTACCCATCAACATGTATAACAGACATACTGCTCAGCTATAAGCACCCCGAGGTCTCCTTCAGCATGGAACAGGCAGGAGTGTAACAGGAACCAAGAGTAAGTATTACCCAGGCCAGGGCCAAAGCAGCCCTTTGGCCCAGTACCAGGTCCTGAAATTGTCAGGAGAGTCTTTCCATGTGAACTCCACAATACCATTCTTTCCCTCCTGGTCTGTCATTAAGCACCGCCAGTTGTTTGGGGGTATGAGTAGGTACAGACAGAAGATATGCTAGCCATAGTCCATTGGTTTAACTGTGGGGATAAGACATGTGTTGTAATTACAAGTCCTGTAACAGCCTTCACAGAGACATGAGTGAGCTGCAGCTTTGAAGGATGGGGCATCTCTGGCCAGGGTAATAAGGAAAGGAGGTTGTCTTTAAACTCAGTTCTGAAAGATGAAGCCCAGTAAGAAATCATTTCCAGCCATAATATTTCAGCCTGTGCTACAGGTGGCAGACTATTCTAGACAGAGGCAATGGGTGATCAGAGACCAGTGGTAGAAAAGGGGTAAATTGACCTGGTTGGAGTAATGCCTAAAGGAACATAGTAGGTAGTATTGGTTCTTTGAAAACTCTGACAGAAAAGACTTGATGGAAGCTAAGCCATCTGGCAAATCCGTATTAGAGCCTCAGTGTGGCAGATCTCTTTAAAAACCTAAGGTAAAGTGAACCAGAGAGAGATTTCCGGCCAAGGTGAAGGCATAGGTAGATATACTTTGGCTCCTCACACAAACAAAAGAAGGACAACAACAAATTTAAAAACAAAAAATAACCAGAACTGCCAGAAAATCAAACTGTGTGGAACCAAGGAGTTAAGAAGGTGCGGAGATGGGCAGCTGGGCAGAGAGGACTTGTGGCAAGGTGGCGACGGGACGACAGGGCAGGTGAGGCAGAGGCTGGCAGACCACACAACCCAGGTTTCTAGTGCAGGGAAATAAAGCCTCAAAACCTCTGGCTCTAAATCCTGTGGGAATTGCGGCAGTGGGACAAACTTCCAGTCTTACAGCAGAGTTAGTTGGAGAGACCCAAGGGGTCCTAAAACATGTATAAGCCCACCCTCCTGGGAATCAGCACCAGGAGGACCTAGTTTGCTTATGGGTAGTGGAAGAAGTGACTGAAAGTCGGCGGAGAGCTGAGCAAGTAGCATTGTTCCATCTGGTGTACCCCCTCTCCCACATATAGCATCACAGTGCTGCACTGTGGGTTGTCCTGCCCTGGCAAATATCTAAGGCTCTACCCCTTATGACATAACAGGTGCATCGAGACAAAAAATTATGGCCCAAATGAAAGAATAGATCAAATCTCCAGAAAAAAAATACAACTAAGTGATAAAGAGATAGCCAACCTGTCAGATGCAAAATTCAAAACACTTGTAATCAAGTTGCTCACAGAAATGGTTGAGTATGGTCACAAAATAGAGGAAGAAGTGAAGGTTATGCAAAGTGAAATAAAGGAAGATATACAGGGAACCAACACTGAAGAGAAAGACACTGGGACTCAAATCAACCATTTGGACCAGAAGGAAGAAATAAACATTCAGCTGGAACAGAATGAAGAAACAAGAATTCAAATAAATGAGGCGAGGCTTAGGAACCTCCGGGATAACTTTAAATGTTCCAATATCAGAATCACAGGGGTGCCAGAAGGAGAAGAGGAACAGCAAGAAATTGAAAACTTATTTGAAAAAATAATGAAGGAGAACTTCCCCAATCTGGCAAAGGAAATAGGTTTCCTGGAAGTTCAGAGAGTCCTGAAGAATTTCCCAAGGAGGCACACATTAAGGCACATTATAATTACATTACCCAAGATGAAAAGTAAGGAGAGAATCTTAGAAGCAGCAAGATAAAAGGAGACAGTTGCCTACAATGGAGTTCCCATAAGACTGTCAGCTGATTTCTCAAAAGAAATCTTGCAGGCAAGAAGGGGGTAGAAAGAAGTATTCAAAGTCATGAAAGGCAAGAACCTACATTTAGAGTGGAAGGGCAGATAAAGTGCTTCCCAGATAAGGTCAAGTTAAAGGAGTTCATCATCACCAAGCCCTTACTATATGAAATGTTAAAGGGACTTGTCTAAGAAGAAGATGATCAGAACTATGAATAAGAAAATGACAACAAACTCATAACTATCAGCTGAACCTAAAAATAAGAAAAACAAAAAAAAAAGAACTAAGTGACTAACTAGAACAGGAACAGAATCACAGAATGGAGATCACATGGAGGCAGGCAGTTATCAGTGGGGATGGGGAGGGGGAGAATGTGGGAAAAGGTACAGGGAATAAGAAGCGGAAATGGTATGAACAAAATAGATGGGGAAGTTAAGAATAGTACAGGAAACACAGAGGCCAAAGAACATATGTACGACCTATGGGCATGAACTAAGGAGGGTAGGGAATGCTGGTGGGACAGGGGTAGGGGGTGCAAGGCAGAGAGGAATAAAGAGGAGAAAAAATGGGAAACTATATTAGCATAATCAATTTTTTAAAAAAGCCTGAGGTAATGTGAACCAGGCTGTTTTTTATTGGTTTCAGCCTATTGAAAACCAGCATTGTGGCTGGATGGTTCTTGTGCTTTTTACTATGGCTGCAAGACACCCTTCAGCAGTAATCATGGGGAAACTTGGAAAAGATGCAGATTTATTATTTACAAGACCTGGAAATTACACAAATTACATGGCACACCTGGGGCCATACAGCAGGATCTTGAGAGGGTTGGGGGATCCTTTGGGGAATAGGCCTGGTAATTTGCTTTTACTGGAGGTCAGGGAGGGACCCTGGAGTTTTGCAGGCTCACCCTTCATTGGTGGATTTAAAACATAACAGCAGGAATTTAAAGCATGGGAAATGAAAACAAACAATGAGCCCAAATGGTCAGTTACTGAAATCTACCATGATCTCCAAAACAAAAGTGGCTCCAGTGGAGAGAGGAGGCTCTTTATCTAGCCTCCTGGTGGGCCAGTGTGTTTACTCAAGGTAGTCTTTCTTTTTGAATTGGATGCCTAGATAGTCAAAGCTTAAGTCAGGTACTTGCAACAAAAAGAAAAAAAAATCTTATACTACCCAGTTGAATTTTTTAAAAGTCATCAATTGAAACTTTTGAGGCTTTCTCTTTTCACGCTAATCCCCCTCTGTGTCTGCTCTGTTGCAGGTTTGTGTACAGCTGGGGAATAAAATAATGGATTTTAAACCAACAGTATCTAGCAGCATTGCACCAAATTGCCATTGTGTTTCTCTCCACGCAGAACATTGTGACTCCTTTCCTCACATTTAGTTTATCAGTGTGCTGTTCTTCGGGGTTCTGAGGGGGGTTTGCCATGTTTGCTTGTTATGACCAAGTCACCAAGGAAATAAACAGAAAATCCACGTTCGCCATCTTTTGTGAAAGTGTATTTGATGTATTTCAGTTGTTGATTTGGTTTTGGTTTTTGGTATGTTTTCTTTTGGAGGTGATTTTTTTTTTTTAGCTTTACTTCTCTTTTTCTTTTTCTTTTTCTTTTTCTTTTTCTTTTTCTTTTTCTTTTTTTCTTTTTCTTTTTCTTTTTCTTTTTTTCTTAAGACAGAAGAGCAAAGCAGTTAGAGTACAGAGAACAGGGGACCCAGAGCCAGTGCTCTGCATTGCACTTCCACAGGAGCAAAAACTAAAGGATGACACCTTCTGGAATCTTAGTGGTTGGGGAAAGGGATAGAGGAAGTAGTGATGGCCTTTGGCATTTGGAGAGCAAAAAGAGAAACCCCCAGCCTAGAACCTGGGGAAATCTTTACTGCTGGGATCGACTGAAAAACATGTCTGGTCCAGCCAAGATCATATTAGAATGTTAGCCTGGAGGCTGAGAGTGACCTGGTGTTGATGGAGTGCTGGTTAAAATGCCTCAATGTGAGCTTTTTCTTTGGTGTATAATTCAGTTCCCCTCTTATAACCTGGAAAGATGGTTGCCCTTACCATCCTACTGGTTCTACTCATGGACTGCACCCTACAGTGGTATTTATGCCTTTGTATCACCTTACACTCATTTTATATTGTGCTAGAAAAAGAATTATTTCTCTAGAGTATTCCATATGTATATATATACACACACACCCACACACACAGAGATACACACGCTTTTCTCTTTTAGCCTGTTTGTCGCAGGCAAGAAGACTAGGAGGCTGTCTTGGGCCCTGCCTCTTTCCTAACCTCCTCCTCCCTGGGCATCCTCATTCCCTTTTTAATTCTCGATCATGTAGGAATTGTTTTGGTAAATGTTGATATTATTATTGTTGTTACTAATAAATAAAAAGAAAAGGAATTTTTGTTTAATAGAGAAACGTTTAACCAGATTCTGTTCTATTTGAATTGTGACTTGCACCTTTTGTTCAAAGTATTTTATTTAGACAATGTAATTGTGAACAGTTCTTTCTTGTGCCGGTGACAGGCATCCCCATTTGAAGCAGTGCATATGCAATAGCTATTGGTTGTGTCGTTGTCTTTCTTTCCCTTCACTGTTAGAAACCAAAGTCTTTTATGCTGCCTGGGGACTGACAAAGGATCTGGGTTGTCTCCTTTGATCTTCAAAACAAGAAAGAAATATTAATGATTCTGACTCCTGATCCTTTTTTTCTGAGGAAGTAAATGGTCCCCAGTCCCCCTCTAGTCTTTCATTCTGAATTTGCACAGAAGAAAGTGGGTGCCCAGCATGGTCGTCCTGATGTTGCTGACAGGATCCCCATGCAGCTTGTTCTTCTAATATCAGCAGCTCCGCTCCTGGACCCAGGAGCCCTTGATGGATTTCTATAGTGCAGAGCCTTTCTCAGGATATGGCCCATGTTTTCATGGTCCCCAGCCACCCCTTCACTTTGTGGGGCCACCAGCTACTCACCAGAAGGAGGCTACCATGAAAGGCCGAACAGCTGCTGTTTAACTTCTGTTTACATGGAACTGAACTGATGGGAGAGCAGACTGCCACCCTCCAGTTGACCACCCAGTGGAGGCCATTGAGCCCATTAACCGTGCCATCTTGGAACTATACTCTTTAAAAATCATTGCTTTGTATTATAGTAACTAACGTGCGCAGTATATGTTGAATGTATATTAATACACTTTCCTATATCTGTTCTTTGAAAATGTCAGAAGTTTTTTTTTTATTTCTCATTTATGTTGAACTTAAAAAGGATTTTAAAAAATCTCCAGACCCAAGTTTCAGTAAGACCTTAAGCCCCTTTTTTCTGGGCACTTACAACTTAGTAACTTAGTTGGACAGTAGGGGATTGTGAAAATAAAGAATTGATTGTCATCTTATGTCGATATATTATTTACCTTGTGGTTCAGAGTCTAGTTAGGAGAAGCATCCAGGCAGGTGGAAGCAGAAAAAGTCTACCAAGCATAGGATGGAGCAGAGCAATGCATTATCTCCACCTTGTAAAACTATCATTCCCTAGAATCCTGAACTCAGCTCCACACTGTGGTCCCCTGCATCCAGCTTGATCTTTGACACCTCAGAGGGGAGTATTTGAATCTGCTGAATCATGTGGTAAACGGATTCCTTTAGAGGGTACTTGAGAAGGAATAGCAGGAGGGCCAAATCCTGGGGCCTAGAGGCAGGGCCTTTATAAGGTGACTCCAGTCTACCCAGTGTTAGGACAACAAGGAGACTTTTCCTATATTTTCCCCCTTTTTCCACACCTGGACTCCCAGGGGCAGGACAGCATTTCCAGCAGTGTCCTATGCATGGCCAAGAGATAGCTGACTGAAGGTCCACGAAGAAAGGTTACTGAATGGGAAATACTGAGTTTGTAGAAAGAAGAATGAGAGGAAAGAACTTAAAAGCTTTCAAATCCCTGGTGGGCTAGAAAGTCACAGTGGGACTGTTTAGGACAGAAAAGAGCCTTCTCAAGGAGGTCTTCCAGCAATCGCCTGAGTCTGTGCACACTCCTTTGGAAAGCTGGGCAAGTATCTCTGAGACCAGTGATTCACCCTAGATGCCTTTCAACAACTTGTCACAACCTTTTGAAATAGGCGCCTCTCCCTCCTGAAGTCAACCAGGGGGACTTTGGGATGGATACAGAGGGATTGGTGTGATGCTTCCTGGACGTGGACCCGAATATCTGAGTTCTGGAAAACAGAAGCCATGCTGACAAAGCCTTACTGATCTTTCTGTGTCAGAGTCCCTTTCCCACTCCAACTGCAAAGATCAAGAATTGGGAAGGTCCGTGTACCTCCCAAGGAGCCAGACCTCCACTCATGCTGGTCACAGACCAATTCTGTCTTTCTCTTACCCTGCCCCTAAGCAGCAAGACCCAAGAGAAGCTTGCCTGTGGTTGGGTACAGTGGCCTGCATGTAGGGTCCACATTGGGGCTCTGTCACAAAAAGCTGCAACAGAACTGCCCAATAGGGAATATTGGTAGGGGTGTTCCTCTCCCCTGCTCAGTACAAACTCCCTGCCCCATCCTGACCAACAAAAGGTTTTAAGATGACATGTTCTGAGCGGAGTCCATGATACAGGGTTAAATGCTCAAGAGTTTTTTTGAGTCTCCTCCCAAGGCCTGTTCCTTCAAATGACCCTTTATCATCCTGCTGACCTTCTGTTAGTGTGCCAGTGTAGTTCAATGAACAAATATTGGTTGAGTGTCTGTTACGTGCCAGGCCTAGGAAGGGCCAGAGTCCTCCCAGTGTAGACTGACCAGTATGACACTGGGTCATAAATTGTGAAATGAGCAAAATCCACTCCTGTAGCCAGCTAGCAGAACTCACACATGCATCAGGGGAGGGTAGTACAAAGGGCCTACACTGGTGGGCCCTACACCCACCAAACAGCTAGTCTGTTCCATTTGATGCCTCTAACAATGACTGGCTGGCCCCCAAGTCTGGATCTGAAATGGACCCACTTTGTTGGTGGTGGTGTTTCCCATTGGCCTCTATCCAGAAAGATTCCTTCCTCTTCGAAATACTAGTAATGAGAGACTTGGACTAGTTTAAGTCAAATGTCTTACGGTGAAATGGAGTAGACACACTAGTAAATGAGTTTAGTAAAAAGAATCTCCCTGCTCAGGAAGATGCTATCAAACAGCACTCTCTAACCCAGGGCCTTAAAATCCCTGTGCCAGGAAGTGAGAGTTCCTGAGCAGAGCCCCAGGGTGGTGGGGATCTGGGACCCTGCTGCTGCCACTGACCAACAGGCAGCCACCAAGGGGCTAGAGGCCAATCTGATTCCCAATCCTGCCAACACCAAATGCTAACGGCTGAAGGAGGCAGGGCAGCTCTGGGCAGCTCTGAGCTGCAGTCTTCTCACAGACAAACAAGGAGAACATCTGGCCTACCCGCCCTGCAGAGACTAAGTTAATCATGAAAGTGTTTTGGCCACTAAAGAACTATACAAATGTCAGATACTGGGTTTACCCATAATAATCATTTCAGTAATAAACCAAAGACGAGGGTGAAACAGTGACAAGTAGCTTGGAACCCAGCCTGTAAGATTCTGAGAGCTACTATGTGCTGGCTGGGACTAGCTCTCCCCCTAGAAAGGATGTAACCTCTCTTGGCCAGAGATACTTGCCTGTGAGCTGCCCCAGCAAGGCTCTGCCCCCTCTCCCCCTCCCCAAACAGGCAGAAAGCTGGGCTGGCCAGCTGGCAGTCGGGGAGACTGGTTAGAGAGTGCTGTTTGATAGCATCTTCCTGAGCAGGGAGATTCTTTTTACTAAACTCATTTACTAGTGTGTCTACTCCATGAGGCTATGTTCCCACAGGCCTCGGGCTGGGTCAGTCCTGGAACAGAGGCCCCACATCTCAGCATCTGCAAGTCAGGACCACGCAGAGGAAATGAGATTCCCTGCCTTCCCCCCACTTCTGCTGCCTGAAGCCAAGGCCTTAGCTCTCTCTGGTCTGATGGTACAAGGGTGATCAGTGGGAGCAAAGGGACAAGATGCCAGAAATTGGGATGCTGGGACATAGAATAGTTACAGTTTACCATGTGCCAGGTAGCTTTCAGTTTTGCCACACATGTTCAAATTTAGTGCTTAAAACAAATTTATTATCTTACAGTACAGTTCTGTAGGTCAAAAGTCCAATGAGGGTCACATGAGGCTCAAATCATGGTGTCAGCAGAAGTGTATTTCTTTGGAATGCTCTAGGGAGACCTCTGTTTCTTTGCCCCTTCCAGCTTCTGGAGGCTACCCACATTCCTGGTCCACGCACCCTCCCAGCAGTCACAGCATGTCACGCTCTGACCTCTGCTTCCATCTTCTCATCTCCTCCTCTGACTCCACCTCTTCTGTCTCCCTCCTGTATATTTAAGGATGCATGTGATGACATGGGACCCACCTGGATTATCCAGGATAACCACACCATCCTCCCGGTCCTTAGAATTACATCTGCACCTAGTCCCTTTTGTCATAACAGTCACAGGTTTCAAAGAGCATGGCATGCACATCTTTGGGGTGAGGGGCATTATTCTGTCGTAGTCTAAGAAACTGATTTGTGGGAAGATTCTGTAACTTGCTCAGGGTCACACAGATAATAAGTGACATAGCTGAGATTCAAACCGAAGATTGCCCAGCTCCAAAGCTTTCCACTCTGAGGTGAAAGGCATGAGATGGGCCACAGGGGAAAAGGCCCAGACCCCCTTCCCCCTCCACTCCCACTCCAGGATCTGACAGACAGCAGTGCCAGGCTGGTATTTAGACTATGAGGGAGTTTCTTGGACAAATGGTGCAGGGCACATTTCTGTCTGGAGTTCTAAGTCTGGAGACCTGGGTTCTAAGTCTAGTCCTTCTTCCAACTCCCTGGGAGGCCAGAGACATTGGGCAAATTTCTTTCACTTTCTTCAGTTTCCTCATCTATAAGATGGCAGGGGATGGGAGGAGGATGGAATAGTTGATCTCAATGTTCCTTTCAGCTTGGACATTCAGAGGTTCTATGACACAGGTCCTGTCAGTGACCTGGTGTTGGAGGTCCTGGGCCTTCCAGGAGAAACCTTACAAAATGGTGCTGCAAGCACTCTGCATTTTCAGGATTCATGCGGGTCTCCAGTAAACCCAACCATTGTTGCCTCCGTTTTACTGTAGGAGACTGAAGCTCAAGGAGATTATGTAACTGGTTCAGCCCTCCAGGATGAGGCAAAATTAAGTGAGAAAATTGGAGGCAAAATGAAATGAGAAAGCAGTTCTCCTGCTACCTGGGCCAGAGGTCTTTCCCTCACCAGTGGTCCCGGAGGGCCGGCCTCCATTCTCGCCTGTGTGTGATCACACATAAATATGAACCATGCAAAGATTTATATTTTCAATTGAAGTGACTTTCCTTTATTCTGAGATTATGCCTTATTATGTGTTAAAAATCTTTTCTTTTTTCAAGTGCTGGTTATGGTAGACAGTAGGGTTTGGGAGTGGGCAGTAGGTAGGATTTTTATGTGACAAATTTAAAGTTGGCAACTCTGTTGTTGGTCTCTAGAATTTGTTTGGAAATATTAGAGGTCTCTGAAATCTCAAAGTCTGGGATTCACTAACACTTTCCACTCTCTCCCCAGGCAGCTCCCTAGCACCACAAGTTCCCTTCAGTCAAGGATGTGGGAGGCCCACAAGGGCCTGGAGAGAGGTGTGCCAAACCTGCTGGGCTGAGAGTGCGAGTGGGAGGGCTGTCTGTCGTGCCCTTTGAGGGAGGGGCGGGATGGGTGTGAAATCATCTCCCTGGACTTCAGGAGAGTGCCTGCTGTTCCTGACCAGCCTGGGCATTTTCTTCTCTCCCTCTTCTCCCCTGCTGTCCTGGCACAATGGACAATGGTGGGGAATACACATCCCACCAATGAGAAGAGGGTGGGCACAGCTGACCACACCACTGGGGACCTGCAAGCCTGCAACCACCCCCTCCGACACCCTTCTGAACCCTTGATCCCTGGCCCTGCAGCCACCCCCCCCCCAGCTCTCTGTTTGCCCACTCTATTTGCCTAGCCCCAGGGACAGAGCGGATCCTTGAACTCTAAGTTCCACATCTCGGCTGGGACCAGTGAGCAGTCGCAAGGCCTGGGCTGAGCTTATCAGCCTCCCAGCCCAGCCCCTGCTGGAGACATAAATAGACCCAGAGAAAGCTGCTGCTCAGAGACTGTTGAAGTGCTTGCTGCAGGTAAGTACTGCTGCCTGCAGGCTCCTCTGGCTTCCTCAGCCCTGAGGCTCAGGCTCTGCTCCATGCTGGGGCTCTAGATACCTGAGGCCTTCTCCTACTTGTGACCCTCCGTCTCCTCTTCTGTCTGGAATGAGTGGGGGAACACAGAGCTCCCCTACACCACAGGCCCACCTGTAGCCAGGCCCCTCTTCCCCTTCAGGTCACCCAGGATGAAAGTGGTGGTGTTGACCTTGGCTGTGTTCTTCCTTACGGGTAAGTGACCCCCAACCTAGAAAGCTACCCATCAGGAGGACTCTTCTCCCTAAATCCCTGTGGTCTGTACTTCAGAGCACAGGGACCCAAGTTTCTCACTAGACCCCTCTCTCCTGCCCCCAAGCCTGGCCTTTCAGCTCAGACCCTGGCCCGGAGCTGGTCTGAACTGAACAAGTCTCCTCTCCTACCCCAGGGAGCCAGGCTCGGCATTTCTGGCAGCAGGATGACCCCCAGTCACAATGGGACCGAGTGAAGGATTTAGCCACTGTGTATATGGACGCAGTCAAAGACCGTTGCAGAGAGTATGTGGCCCAGTTTGAAGCCTCTGCCTTGGGAAAAAATTTAAAGTAAGAACCCAGCCCGGGCTCTGGGATGGGGCAGGGCTGCTGGTCCTGAGGGGCAGATACCAGGCCTGTGAGAAGATGTAGCCAGACTGGCTGAATCCCTACATGCTGTTTCATGGGCTCCATAGCTGGATGGGGAAACAGGAATGGGATCCCCAAGCAGGGTCACAGCCTCTTAGCAAGGGACAGAACAGTGCTGCCCGGTTCGTAATCACAGCATCACGTTCTGTCTGCAAGTGCAACAAGCAGCTTGCAGTTCTTCTGCAACTGCTCAGCCATAGGGATGGCTATCTTCAGAGAATTGAATGGCCTGAAGTATAGAGATGAGGTCCTCAAGTGGCCCAGCTTTGGAGGCTGACAAGACTGAGCACCAACCCAGCTCTGTCTCCCATTAGCTCTTTAGTCCACAGAATGTGGGGGCAGTGGGAACAAATGAGTTGGGTGAGACACTGCATGGGAAAAGCCAAGACCAGGTCTGATGCCCAGCTACTGTATGTTCAGGGACAGGTGTTGCTCAGCTTTCACCACAGATAAACTGGGGTTCTGGACCTGCAGCCCCGGGGGTGTCTTGGGTGCCTGGGAGGTCCCCCCTTGAGACCTTTGTCCCCCTCCTCCAGCCTGCAACTCCTGGAGTACTGTGACAGCGTGGGCTCCGCGGCCACCAAGCTGGGTGAAAAGGTAAGCCCAACTGCCCAGGAGTTCTGGGGTGGCCTGTTAAATATCACAAGAGTGCTGGCACAGAAGATGAACAAGGATCTAGACAACTTGAAGGAAATGGTGAAGCCCCACCTGGAGGACTTCGAGAAGAAGTGGCAGGAGGAGGTGAATCTCTACTCTGAGAAGGTGACACCACTGGCCCAGCAGTTCCGCGACAGCACACGCCAGACGCTGCAAAGCCTGCAGGAGAATCTGACCGAGTTCAGCCAGCAGCTGCGTGGGGAGCTGGAGCCCTTCCACGACCAGCTGCGCCAGTGCTTCACCACGAGGCTGGAGGCGCTCAAGGGGACCGGCGCCGGCCTGTCTGAGTTCCACAACAAGGCCAGCAAGCAGCTGCAAGAGCTCCGTGAGAAGGCCACGCCTGCGCTGGAGGACTTCTATGAGGCTGTGCTGCCCATATGGGATCACATGAAGGACGGCCTCATGGCCTTCGCAGCCGCCGATGAGCACAAGAAGCTGACCACCCAGTGAGACGCCGTTGCTGCTGGGACTCCTGGCCTCTCTTCTCAGATTCCCTTTTCCATAGCTTGGTTTCTTAAAATAAAAGTTTACAAGTGGGACTCACATGTTGGGTTTTATGCTTTTTGAAGATTCAATTATGATTTTTAAACAATAAAAGTTTCTCAAAAAATACTCTTGGGAGAATAAGGATGGGGAGTGGGCCGCTGGAGGGGACTCTGAGGAGGCGTGGCAGAGCCTGTGACCAGGGGGTAGTCGGGGCTCGTCCACTCTCGAACCTCAGCCTCCCAGGGCCTTAATGTTGGAGAAACTGCTAGGTGCCTGCCGCCTGGGAATGAGGTCATCTGAGTCCCTTTTCTAGGGAGGATCAAGCAGAAAAGAAACAGAGGACTAGGCAAAAATCCAATGCTAAGTGCCCTGAAAGAGTCTCAAACAGTAAGTACTGCAGCTGTGTCTGAGGCGGGAATGGAGGCATGGCTGGTTGTGCTGGGAGAAGTGGGTGCCCTGTTCCCAGAGGTGTTCCCTTGGACAGAGGACAGGAGCCTCTCCCAGCTCTCTGGCTCTGGGAGGGTTAGGGTATGCTTCAAGGAGAACTTAAAGGATTGGGGCAGGTTCAAATGAAAGAGCTTGGCCCTTGCTTCTTCCTCCTTTCTTAATTAAACAACATTTAATCAAATGCTTCCCTTTTCTTTTTTCACAAGGGCAGCCTGCCACTCCTCACTCCCGCCCTACCCGGAAGCAGCCACTGTGTCCTCAGGCACAGCTGTGCAAGCCTGCCAGCCAGCCACCAAGGGGCTCCGAGCACTGCCACCCCCTCTATCTGACAGCTCTGGCCTGAGTCAGAAAAATAATCACCACCTCTTGCAGAGAGTTAGCACATTTTCATCTTTTTCAAGATGCTTTCATAACCATCATCTCACTGCATCCTTCCCAAAATTTTGGGTATGGGAAAGGAAAGTGAAGCTTGGAAATTGGAAGTCACTGGCCAAGGTTGAAGAGCAAGATGGGAAAGGTTGCCCTTTTCGGACCCATTTGCCCGAAACGGCATCCATGGTTATTTTTAAAACGCAAGTGCATAGCCAGGCACTCAAGTTCATCTGGGTGTGCACACGTATGTGTCCTCTCGTGCACATCCCTATTCACACCCTGCCCCTCTTCACACTCAGGTATGTATAGCCTGCTGTGCATGCACACAGGCTCATAGATCTTCAAAGGTCTGGGCAGTGCCTTCATGAACCTTTCCTACTTTCTCCCCTCAGGGTCTTTTTGCCCCCCTGGTATAGACCACTGGATAATTGCCACTCCTCTATTTCTTGGATAAAGGAGCAGGCTTTGTGGTTCCTAACCACCTACAACAATAGGTATCAAACCCAAATTTGGGTGGGAACATTTCCCAGGTGTGGGTGCTAGGAAGCCTGGCCCAGTTGGGCCAGAAAAGAAGCCCAGGTAGATTTTCAAAGAGACAGTAGATTATCTCCAAGTGGGGCTGGATGTACAAACACCACCAAGATTTGTCAGGAAGCCCTCTGACACCTAGCATAGAAGTAACTAAGCATTTTTTCTGTGTCAGCTGAGCGGAATACGGGCAGTTGACCTGGGGCTGAGGTCCGGCTCTACCATGTGCTGACTCTGTGACACTGGGCAAGTACCTTCACTTTTCTCAGCCTCAGTTTTTTCACTGGAAGAGTGGGGGAACTGCTCAAGTAGAATGTGGTTCTGGAACTCTGATGAGAATGTCTATCTGCTGGGCAGTGAGACACAAGCAAAGCACCCTCTGTGGGTGACTTTGGGTTACTTCTTAGTTCCCAGGACACTGGCCCTCCTGTTCCAATCCTGGTGTCAAGGGGATAATCAGCTCTGCCTACAGCAACAATAACAACCACTCACCAGGTACCATTGGGGTGCCAGGTGCTAGGCACTGTCTCATTTCATTCATTCATTCAACAAACCTCCAGTGGAAGAGATATTCTTGTGCCCACTTTACAGATAAGAAACTGACACTGATATAACTTGACAGAGGCAAGATCAGAGCCACGCTGCACCTTACCCCAACCACTGCCCCAGTGGCCTTGTTCCTTGAAGTGCGGTTTAGAGACCAGGTGGCCCAGATAGCGTAAGACAGCTCTGTGATTCTGGTGAACACACACAGTCTCAACTCTGATGACATGGAAATGCCAGGCACAGTAACCGACACAGAGTACACATTCAAGTCCCATTGTACAGCATTTGATAGGTTATCAAAGTGTTGTCAAGCCTATGAGCCTGTTTGCTCCTCCACACAAACCTGTCGAGGCAGGCAGGGTAAGTAGTGTTATTCCTACCTAACGGATGAAGAAACTTGGACCCAGACACTAAGAGGTGGGAACCATACTAGCCCTAGGCCTGCTCAGGCCCACACCTGCCTGCAGAACAGCCCGGCCGTGCCCAAGCCCAAATATATGCGGCATGTGCAGCTTTTCGTCCAGATTTATTGGGAGGACAGCATGCCTGGGTGTGGGCCAGGTCTGGGGGTGGGATGGGAGGACACAGAATGCTGTCCCTCTCGTGTGAACTTTAGGAGCTGGTAGGATGGATGGACACACAGACTCAGGGTCTTGAGGTCTGAGGCTGCTGGTGCGGCCTCGGGGGTTGAATCCCAGAAGCTGGAGAACGTGCCCATAAGTGTACTCCCATCATCTTTCGGGGACCTGAAGCCATCTGTCATCCATCCCCTGGGGGGTAATCAGTAAGGAGAAACAATATAGGTGAGGACGAGAGGGGGTCCCCACAGAACCCCACCTCTCCCCTCACCCTCTCAACCTCACCCAGCAACACCCCTGAGACCTTAGGCAGGGTCCCCTGCAGCTTCACCCAGGCTTGTTACCAGGTTGGACAGATACTTGTGCCCCCACTGTTCTGGGGCGAACTGGAGAGGAGCGGCTGGGCGGGAGGATGTGTAAGGTCAGGTCTGCGATTCTGTCCTAGACAAACGTCGCCCCAAGAATTATACAACCTGGTGGCTCTGAGTGAGATAAAGCAGAGGGAGACAGTTTCTCATTTGGAAAGTCATCACCGGATTTGTTGGCTATATGATCTGGGGCAGGTCACTTAACCTCTCTGAGCCTTGATTTTTGCATCAGCACAATGGAGAAAATAATACCTACACCACAGTCAGTTCTGAGGACTGACAGCGTTTGTGAATATGCTTCTGCTGCATAAACGCCAGCCAATGCTGGTGGCATGGAGGCGGGAGGAGCGGCTGGCAGGCAGGGCAATGTGGTAGAGGAAGGACAGGCCCAGCGCTTGGACCTAGACACACACATGGACACACACACTGGGCTGAAATGAGGTTGGGGGAGTGTCCCAGCCGAACTGCTGGCCAGGCTGTCAGAAGAGGAAAATGGAAGTGAGGCCTCAACTGGCCTTCCTTGGAGCCGCGTAGGGCACCTGAGGGAGAAAGGAGAGATGGCAAAGAGAGACTATGCCAGGGGGGATAGAGGCCTCCATTGTCTCTCCAAGGCAGCCCGAAAAAGCCCTGTGAGGGAGCCCTGTTTTGTAGACCAGGAGGGCATGGAGGCTCAGAGAGGTGCAGGTCCAGGATGGGTGCGGAAGAGCCACGGCCCCACTACTGGGGCTGTCACCAAGTCAGGGGCAGGTGGGGGCAGAGGGAGCTGGCACCTAGGATGGGAAGTGAGGGTGTACCTGGCCTGCTGGGCCACTTGGGACTCCTGTACACTGGTCAGTGCGTCCTGGGCTCTTTTGCTGGCTTGCTGCACGTAGCCATGCATGAAGCCCAAAAGGGAGGCATCCTGTGCCTCCACAGCTCCTGCAAAAACAGTAGGGTTGAGTAGGTGGATTAGCCTCTGGGGAGTCCTTGGCTCCTGCCCAGCACCCATCATGATCCAGGATCATCAGGCCACCTCCCAAGGGTTCCCTGGGTCAGAACCTATCCACCCCCACCTGTCCCCCACCCAGTCCCCAGAAACTGGTTACAGACAGAAGCCAGGAGGGCAGCCATGAGGAGGGTCCAGGGCTGCATGGTACCTTTGTTCCTGAAGGGATGTGTCTTATGAGGTATGCTCCAGGTTCCTGGGGAAGTGGTGTGGCCCCTAGGGTGAAACTGGAGCTGGGAGGAGTCAGGCAGAGAGAGGGCCTGCTCCCTTGCTACCTAATATGGGGAGATGAGGGGCTTTCAGACAGGACACTCAGGGAGCCACAGCCCAGAGGCAGAGAGGTGCGGGCTGCAGCAGAAAACCTATCAGACTAGGAATCAGGACATCTGGGTTCTGGCCTTGTTCCTGCCACTAACAAGCTGTGTGACTCTGGGTGGACTTCTGCCCCTCTCCAGGCCTCAGTTTTTCTGTCTGCCATAGGACCATAGGACTGGAGTATCTAAGGCTTCTCCTAGTCCTAAACATGCAGGACGAGGGCAAAGTGTGCAGATCAGGAGGCACTTCCAGTCCCAGCTCTGCCACTACACTCTATGTAGCTTTGGGCAAGTGACCTCCTTTCCATGGGCCTCACTTTCCCCCAGTGTGCAATCCAAGGTGGGGACCACTCATCAAGCCCCAAGTCTTCCTTGGCCCTAGCAAGCTCCTCTCCAGGCTTTGCTGGCTGGGCCGGCAGGGACCCTCCTCTGCCCCTCTTCGTCCTGCTCTCTTGTGCATGCCCACCCCCTCCCCAGGGGCACTACCTGGAGCAGCAGCTTCTTGGGAGGGATTGAGAAGGCAGACAAGAGGGCTCTGATCTGTTTTATATTGTCCCCAGGGCAGTGGACACTGAGGATCTGGTGAGCTGGACAAAGGTCACCTGTGGATCATTCTAGACCAGGGCCTAAGGCAGGATGACCAGGTGCAGCCAGGCCTGCTGGGAGAGTTGGGAAATCTCTAGAAGGCTGTGGGTGCCGTGCCACTCTCCCATTACCCAGATGGGTTCAGGAACAGGGGCTATGTGGAGCCTGGAAAGACCCCATTCCTTTCTAGCAGCCTGGCTCCCCAGGGTGCAACTGGTGAGATGGGAGAGGGTCTTAGGGGATAAGCCAGGGGCCTCAGGACCCACCTTAGCCTTTCACACTTGGTCCTCCCTCCCCATCCCCAAACACTGAAAACAGCCTGGCTAGGGTGTGGAGGTGGGGTCAAAGGGTAATGGAGTTCTTCTACTTGGAAACAACACAGGGCATTGGGTGGGGGTGTCTAGAGGAAGTCACAGAAGACCTACGGGCAGAGGCTTATGTGAAGGTGGTGACACAGTTGAGTTCACTGGGCCCCCCTCCCCAGCATCTCCATCTCTAGCTTCAATCCCAGTGCTGCTTACCCAGAAGTCTCTCCGAGCTGGCCCAGGGCATGGGGCTGGTGGGAGAAGGGCCAAGGTCACTGGGAGCCCGAGGCCTTTACCCTGCCCTTCCTCCCCTCTCCTCACCTTGCCCTCTAGACCCACTGATAACATTCCCTGGGACAGGTGCTGGGCTCCTGGTTGGGGCCCTGCCCAAACTATGGCAGCTGGGATCAGTTCCCAGTGCTGAGTACCTCTCACTTCAGATTCCTCAGCTTGGAAATAGCACTGCTGGCTGGGTGGGCAATGGAAAGAAATCAAGGTTTTGGAGAGGCCCATCTGGTGGGGAGAGGGCACAGAGAAGCTCTGCAAGGGCAGTTGGCTGTTCAGGGAGAAACCTCAGGCCCTTGTTGTGGGGAGTGTCTCCTGGGCCCACACTGTGGGGGCCGTGGCCTGCGTGACAAAATCAGGGAACTTCTGAGTTCTGGATGCTAAGATTTTGGAACCAAGAATCCTAGGTTTAAGCAATGCCTTTGGTGTTTACTCATGTGATCCAGGGCTAGAGATCTAACATCTCAGAGCCTCCATTTTCTCCTCTGTAAAATGGGGATAGAATACTGATATGCCTGCGCTGTAATGAAAAGTACAGGAGATATGTACAAAGCAGCCAATCCATGAAGGGGCTCAGTAAATCTCTCTCCCTTCCTCCAAATACCTTGCCCTTCCCCTGACAGCACAGCCTAGAGGTAGGAGTACTTCCGATGTAGAAACTGGGCTTTTATTTTGGCAGGCAGCCACTCTCTCAGGAAGAAGTAACTAACCCCAGTGTGAAATGAGAGGCCTAAAAAAATGACCTGGCCCTACGCTCAGAATTCTTCATCCATGGCTGAGGCTTGAAATTCCTCTGTTAGAGACTCATTCCTTTGGCTTACACCTTGTTTTCTGTTAAAATACAATCATTCAAATTCCCATAAAGTAGGCATTATTAATTCCATCTTGTAGTAAGAAACCTAAGACTCAAAGGGGTGGAGACGTTCTCAAGTGCAGAGAGCCCATCAGTGGTAGAACTAGGGAACAGAATTCGGGGCTTCTAACACCCATGCTGGTACCAAACAGCTTGGAAAGATGAGACCCTTGAGATTTATCAATCACTCATACCTCAGAGTAAATCCATTTTAGATCTCTCTCTGAGCACAGGTTTTGGTGATGGAGTAGGGAGAGAAAAAAGGTAATTAGAAGGATCTGGGCATTGGGAAAGGTAGAGGCAACTTTGCCCATGCCCTGCTCCTGTTCCTCATCCCAGCAAGGTGAGAGCCACCATTGAGACCCAGAGTCAGGCCGGGCTGGGGCATGGCATCCTCACCCCTGGGTGTGTTAGAACGGGATGGCTGGGTCCCTTAGCCCTGCTTCTGCTAACTCCCTTCCCCCACGTGTGGGGGTCTGGAGGGGCCTGCTCTCTCTCTCCTGTGCCCAGTGGGCCCACTGAGCCCAGGCAGGTGAGAAGACGCAGGCAGAGACCCAGCAGCATAGTGCTGAGCTGGGCAGACAAGCCAGGTGTGTGGGCCCATGCAGCTTGTCACCAGAAACCTGGGACATCTCAAAGGGCTTGGTACCTGTGAGTGTCTGTGTGCTTCCTAGCAGCTCTAGCTGGGACCTCTGTTGGGGCAGGGGCTATCTCTGCCTCGGCCCTCTCAGTGGCCAGCCTAAGCTGCCTCTCTCACTCTCGCTCTCATTCTTGCTCTTTGTTTCCCTCTCTCTCACCTAGTTCCCCTGGAATGAGGAGATTACTTTGGGCTTGGTCCACAGACCAGCTCTAGGGAGTAACCTGTGTATATGTGTGTGGCAGGGAGCAAGGGATTGGTTCAGGGAGCAAGTTTGACCAGCTGGGGCCATTAATGGTCCTCTGGTGTCAGGCTGACTCTGCTTCCACTTGTGTCCAACTGAGGCTTCGTACATGAGCCTCTGTGATCCTTGCCTCTGCCACACTAGACTGGACTGGGCAGCCTTGATTCAGCCTACCAGCCAGAGGCCCTGGTTCACCATGCTTTTCCACACTGGAAGTTCTTCCTAGTATCTTACCCAGATCCTTCCCATTTCAATAGGAGCTAACCCCCCTTGTCTCAGTTCTGCCCCGAGACAGGGGCCAACGTGGAGTATATGTGGGGACACATATCCTTGTGACTCTCCTGTCCCTGGCTGGGCTTGGCCCGGGCTGGTCCTGTGTCTGACTGAGCCTGAGCCATCCTCTCCTGACTCCTTTGTCTGGGATGACTCCTGGTTTGACCCCAGTGAGTAGACAGGAGAGTGGCTATAGGTAACGCTACACTATCAGCCTGATCACCTCACAACCTTGTCTGTCTACTGTACAGACAGGGAGATTGGAGTTCAGAGAGGAATGAGACTCTCCTGACATTACACAGGCCCTTTGTGCCCAGCAGGGTGGCTATCCCCTGATTCATATAGTCAGGCCCAAAGAGAACCAGAGGCCCAGAAGAGGCAGACTCTTCCCCCTCCATCAGCACTTGCACCCTCTAAAACTGGACATGGAGCTCTCATTCTGCCCACCCCCAGCACCAGTCCATTCACAGACTGATAAAACATGCCCACAGACTGCGCAAGACACATGCATCATGAATGGCATCCTGGGAACCCTCCACACACCAGGAGACAGCACAGCCTCCCATGTCTGTGGGTGCATGCGGCAGTCTGTGCCAGTCCCTTTGTTCTAGGCCTTAGCTTTGTGCCCACAGATAGCTAATATATCTGCACACTTACATAAATCTGCACACATCCTGGCAGACACTCTTAGATATGTTCAAACAGGTGCAGACACTCCCAGGGGGCGTAAACCTGGGTGAGGGAGATGGACAAACTTTGAACCTGTTACAGGTTGGTGGCACCTGCTGCTTGAACTGTAAATCCAGGAGGTCAAACTGCAGCTGAGGTGTCCTGCATGACTCACTGCCGTCCTAGTCTCTGGCCTTGGGGGTGACGGGGGAACGGGGTGGGGACACTGAGCACCGACCCCAAGCTGGACCATGCCTGACTCAGAAGCAGGACCAGGGCCGATGGTCAGTGTTGCCAGGAGCCAGCCTTCCAGGGCTCATATGTGGCTAATGCTTGACGGGCACTGACTATGCTCTGTTCCCAGCATCACACAGATTATCTCATGGAATCCTCACAGCCTAAGAGGCAGCTGAGGCTCAGAGAGGTTAGCCCAAGGTCACACAGACAGTGAGTGAGTGGGGAACCCAGATGTGTAACCAGGGAGTCCAATTCCAGAATCCGAACCCTTAACAACTACTATAAGATAGCATGGGCTGCTTTAGGGAGGAGGAGCTTCTGACATTGGAGATGACCATGCGGGGACTGCGCAGAGGAGGTGTAAGCAACAGAAGGCCTTTTAGCTGCCTTCATCCCATGGGACATCAAGCCACTTCTGCAATATGGAAAATGGAGACATGGTAAATCAGGATCAGCACAATGTGGTTCATTCTAATGGCAGGTAACCAGGAGCCACCTACCATGCTGGGCCCAGGGCCCATGGAGAGCAATACAATGGATTTCAAGTCACTCAAGATGGCATGATCCCCCTTTCTGTGTTTGTGTACATGACCTCATTTGGAGAGAATTTTGGAAGTCCAAGTAGAAGACCTCCTGGGCACCCACACCATCTGGCCGCCCCCTAGTGAGAGACCCTCTGAGAACCCCAGGTCGCAAGATTCACCTTAAGCTGACCATTCCCATCCAGGGAGTGTAGCAGGGGGA